TAACTTTTCTAACTGCGGTCCCTCCTTGGTAGGAATGTCAACCCCTCCGAGTGCATTTCTGGTATGATATAAAAGTTCCTCATAAAAAACTATCAGCCGTTCAGATGCCGCTTAGTATAAAATGTTAGAAAAGAAATCAAGATGCATACCACAACTTACATGAACGAAAGTTGTGGATTACTTTATTCTGGTACTTAATTTCTGACCAGACTTGGGATTTACATGTAATCAAAGAATTGAGATCTACGTTCAGAAATAGAAAAAATACTGGCTGCACGAATTTTAAGAAAGGGAAACGTTTCTCGAGATATGCCCTGCGTCTCTCGATAATCTCGACTAGTTGTTGAAAATTGATCAAGCGGTAAATCTTCTAACTGAGTAGTAAAAAAACTTTTCAAAAAGCAGGCTCCTGGCATTCCTTTTGTCTTTTAGCAAAATCACTCTGAAGCTAAAATGCCAGGATAATTTCAGATAGCAAACTTAACTGGAGTCGAAATACCGTGGAAAGATCGAGGAAAGCTATTACTGTTTTTTACGCATACACAGCGGAACCTAAACCGTTCATTGGATTTAAGAGGCGGTAGTTAGATACAGTATATTCTACGTGACCACTGTCTGGCAGTCAGAGTTCAGTGGTCGGCAGTTATTCTTATTACGGGAGCTCTACCGTCGACTCCATCAAAAGCGCTGAGAACTCAATTTTCCCCCTGAATCTGTACGTCAAACTTCAAGCTAGATGCAATGTTATCATACTGAATGCGTCCCAGGCTTCGGGATATCGTGTAACAAAACATGCCTTTCGCACAATTTCCATTGGAGTTGGACTACGTCATCTCTTTTTGACCCGACAAAGTACAACTTTTCAGAGCTTTGGAGTGCCCGGCAAAGGGTTGATACCATAGCAAGTGTACGGCAATGAGTGAGATCATTTTGAACACTCCTTAACGTATTTAATGTATTTATGCACCTGTTTTATCTCTGGAAAAATTTAAGAAGATCAAAACCGTCTGGCTTCAATGGTATCCTATTTTCGAAGTCTCATAAAGTATCAGGTGCACAACTTTGCTTCCGCTGTTGAGGCTGGTTGAAATACAAAGATGATAATGCCTTTAAAGTGAGTGCGGACAGTGCCTAATGAATTGCCATCGCCGTCTCAGTGACAGTTGTTCTTGTTTTCGTATTATTCACGCTCAAAAATGTCCGTTTATGTGTCTAATTCTCGCTATTTGCGCGAAGTTTTACTTTTCTGTTACAATTCGAAAAAAAAATGCAGCTGAAGCGCATCGAATGCTCGCAACTCTGCCCTCCACCTAAGTCTGATCGTCCCGATGAGACACATTCGCTGTTCCAAACTCAGCAAGCCTCTCAAGGTGGACCACTTTCATCTTGTTTCTTGGACTCCCAACGGTTTGGATTCCATACACTACGTCGTTTAGTCGTTTGATTACCTTGTATGGACCTTCCCAATTACATTGAAGTTTTGGGGACAAACCCCTCTTCCGTTGTTGATTGTACAGCAACACCAAATCTCCATTTTGGAAACCTTCGGAGTTCATTGCCTTCTCATACCTGGCCATCATTTTGTCACTCATAACTTGAGTTCGCTGTCTCACAAGAGCATGTACCTCCCTTAGCTCTTCCTCGAAATCGGTAGACGTTACCTTCCCAATTCTTCTCGCATCGCCAGTTATTCCAAATTTTAAATCGCTGGGCAACCGTAGTTCACTACCAAACAGTATCCTCGCAGGTGTTTGCCCTGTAGTTACATGCACGGCGGACCGATATCCCACCAGGAAAAGCGGTATATGCACCTCCCAATCATCCTGATGCTTTCCGCAAGTGCTCTTCCAGGGTCTGGTTGAATCGCTCTACCATACCATCTGATTGAGGATGTAGGGCTGTCGTTCGGGTTTTTCGAATACCAAGTATTTGGCACATCTCCTGGAACACCGCCGATTCAAAGTTTCTTCCCTGATCTGAGTGCAATTCTATAGGCGCATCGAATCTGGTAACCCAATTGTTAGTGAATGCATCCGCAACTGTTTTTGCTTCTTGGTTTGGGATTACGTAAACTTCAGGCCATTTACTGAAATAGTCCATAACCACGAGAACGTATTTGTTCCCTTGTTTGCTCATAGAGAATGGACCAGCTACATTCATGGCCACCCGCTCACATGGTGCCCCTGCGTTATACTGCTTCATCTGCCCATGACTTTGGGCCTTTAGCCGCTATGCACTCCGTGCAATTAGCAATCCACTCCGCGACCGATTGCCGACAGCCAATCCAATAGAACCGCTGCTTGATCTTTTCCAGCGTTTTTGTAGTGCCTATGTGCCCTCCACTAGGACCGTTATGAAATTCGTTAAGAACATCCGGATTTCTTAACTTCGGAACGACTATTAGCTTCCGGGAACACTGGCCATCTTCATTTTCCCACACTCTATGCAAACAGCCGGATATCAGTTCTAAGCTCTTCCATTGTGCCCAGTATGCCTTCGCGATAGGACTTTCCGCAGCCATTTGTTCCTTACTTGGTCGTCTATTTACCTCCAACCCGTGCATTAATAATTCTAAATCTGGATCTTCTTGCAGACATTTCCTTAAGTTACTTGCCTCCCACTCTTCTGCTTGCGAAATTTTCATTAGCCGGACATCTATTATGTCTTCTTTACCCTCAGCTTTTGAGCAATGCTTACATTCTATATTACATGGTCGACGGGACATAGCGTCAGCATTTCTGTGCGTATTCCCCTTGCGGTGCTCGATTGTGAAGCCATAACTTTTTAGCCTCTCAATCCACCGTGCTAGCTGCCCTTCGGGATTCTTGAACTGTAGTAGCCACTTCAGCGCTGCATGATCCGTTCTAACTCGGAAATGTTGACCATACAGATATTTGTGGAAGTGTTTGATGCAATCCACCAAGGCTAATAGTTCTCTTCGTGTCACGCAGTAGTTTCGCTCTGGTTTACCAATAGACCGGCTATAGTAAGCAAGTACCTTCTCCTGTCCATCCATCTGTTGCGAGAGTACACCTCCTATGCCATACCCACTAGCATCTGTGTCCAGAATAAATGTTGCACCTGGAACCGGGTACGCTAGCATAGGCGCAGTGCATAACCGTTCCTTTAAAGCTTGGAAGGCCTCCTCTTGTTCAGTTTTCCACTCGAATCATCTATTCTTCCTTGTAAGCTCATGGAAACTATGAGCGACGCTGGCGAAATTCGGAACAAATCGGCGATAATAAGTACACAGCCCAAGAAAGCTTCTCAATTCATGCAAATTCCTGGGTCTCGGCCAATCCTTCACTGCTTCTATTTTTTCCTTCGCAGTACAAACGCCCTTCGTGGTTACTTGATGACCTAAGTAATTCACCTCCTTCTTGAATAAAGAGCACTTCTTAGGACTTAGTTTAAGACCAGCGCCCGGTACTCTCTGGAAGACTTCTTTCAAATTACGCAAATGTTCGTCGAAGCTTTTCCCCAATACGATGATGTCGTAGAGATACACCAAACAATTCTTCCAGTGTAATCCTTTGAGCACATGGTCCATTAGTCTTTCAAACGTGGCAGGAACGTTGCATTTCACAAATGGCATTACCGTAAATTGTCATAGACCGTTTCCAACACTAAAGACTGTCTTCTCTTTATCTTCTTCACTCATTTCCACTTGCCAATACCCGCTCTTAAGGTCGAGTGTTGAGAACCATTCTGCGCCAGTTAATGAGTCTAGTATATCATCGATCCTGGGCAAAGGATAGCTGTCCTCGATAGTCCACGCAGAACCGCAACTGGCCAACTTTCTTCTGCACGAGTACTACCGGAGAGCTCCAAGGCCAACAGTGTCACGTTTGGATAGTGGCACGCTTCGAGGAGCTTGACGTATTGGTCTTGCGCCACCCGTTTCGATGCAATGCTTTACTACGTTGGTCCTGCCTAGGTTGTTGCTATCCTTGTCAAATATGGTGGAGTATTTGCGGATAAATTGGCTGGCCTTTTGCTTGTACTTGTCTTCCAACCCGTGCGTCACATTTATTTCTTCCTTCATGTCCTTCCTGCTAATGGAGTCGTTTTCCAATGAGTCATTGATAATGGCTTCCACTTTTTTACCATGTCCTAATATAGTCCCTCCAGGAATTTTTACTGGTGATCTGAAGTCATTTAATACTCTCACTGGGATGCGTCCATTCTTTTTCGTCTTAGCCAGGGTTTTACCAATAAGTATGTCCGGTGTAGAATCTTGTGTTGCTTCGACAACCC